TTAATGTAGTGACTGGAAAAATTTGGAAGTGGAATGCAATTTGATGGGTTGCTAGTAAGTAGAGGACCATGAAATCTATACGCAAAAATTGGAAAATCACAATTCATCACCTAATCCGATCTCGCAACCACCAATAAAAAATTAGGAAATAAACCTAAGAAATGCCTCTTTCATTCTAGAATGAACACAAATTATAACATGAAAACATAAATGTTTAGATGAAATAGATTAAGTCTCATAACATTATACATTTATATATATTTATTATTTTTATTATACTGACCTTTCAGCTGTGCCTGGTTAACAATGAAGTGGCTCACGCGCACTCATGTTACTATATCAAATAACATAAAACTGACCTTTGGTCTGTGCAATGTAACTTGTCTTGGCTGTGTTTTTAGTAGACTAGTATTTTGTAAAATACACTCAAATTTCAATTATTATACATTATATATGTATATAGATTATTGCTATTTTGAAACAAGTTCTTAAACTTATTTTTCCTAAACATAGATATGTACCTAAAGAAGTAAAGCAAACAATTATCTCTTCCAGTTATGACCTTTGTACTCAATTGCTGCTTGATGTAGGTTACTGAACCTTTAAAAATATAGCATGTGGAGGATATGAAACAAAATATTTTTTTTAAGTTTATATATACTTTTGAATAACTAAAAAATCATAAATTACTACATTAATACCATAGAATTCCACTATAATTTATCAAGCTTAGTAACTAAGATGTATTTTAGTCTGAAAACAACATGAAATTTCAAGCAGACTAAAGTCACAACCTACCTTGTTGAAATATTGGTTCAAAAGAAAGAAATTGTGCAAAGTCCATTAATATGACCGAGAAAAACCACTAGTGGGACATTCTTTGCTTCCGACTGGTTATTCATGTCATGTATAGAAGTGTATATAAGAGAGCATTTCTAAAAATTGAAAGAGGAGGACAGGGTGCCATTGTGTTTGATTTATTACATGAACAATATCTTAGCAAATTGAAAAGATAAGAGGCTCTTATTTTA